GACGAGCGGCCGGGGGTCGTGCGCGCGGGCGACCGGCACCACGGCAAGCAGCCGCGCGTGCAGCGGGAGGTCACCGGCCTCGTCCCCATGGTCGCCGACTCGTTCGTGGAGCCGAGGCGGTGGAGGCGCCTGGTGGTGGGTCGCTGGAGGCGGCAGGCCGCCATCCATTGCAAGGAGGCGCGGGCCGCCCTCCTCGGGCTCCACCGCGAGCTGGAGCAGCCCAGCTCGCACGGCCACCACGTCCTCAGCTTCGGGGACAACCTCGCGGAGACCCTCGCCTTTGATCGAGGGCGGGCGCGGGGCGCAGAGCTGCTGGGGCTGGTACGACGTGCGGCGGCCGCGCAGCTCGCCGGCGGCCTGTACTGGCACCGCCGCTACGTGGAGACCGACAGGAACCCGTCCGACGAGGACTCGAGGCTTGCCTACCAGGGGTGGCTGCGCCCTGGCCAGCGCGTTTCGGGCGCAGGCCTTCGCGGGCTTCCCCTCGCGGCCGCCGTCGGGCCGGAGTGGGAGCGGTCCGCGCCTGGGCCCCAAGGCCCGCGCGAGCCTGCCGCGGGCGCCGAGCCCTGGGCCCTCGGACCGTCGGCTGCCACCCCCGACGCCGACCCCGAGGCGGACCGCGACCGACAGCAGGACCCCATGGGCCGCCCGGTGCGGTCAGGAACCCTGCGGGGGCCCCCTGACGGCCGGGCGCGTGCTGGAGCCCGCCGAGTCCCTGACGTCACCCGAGCCCGGCCCGCCGTGCTGGAGCTCTTTGCCGGGTGCGGGCGGGCGACTGCCGCCGCCGCCGAGCTCGGCCTCCGCGTGGCAGTTCCTGTCGATGTGCGCCATGGTCGGCATCATGATCTTCTCAATCGCAAAGTTGCTACAGAAATTGTGCGGTGGATTCGGGCGGGGGCCATCTGGGCCGTTCTGCTCGGCACGCCGTGCACGGGGTGGACACCGGCCCGGACTACTGGGTTGGCTTCTCCGCCTTCGACGAGGTGCGTCGATTTCACCGTTCGGATCCTGGAGCTCTGCTACCGCATGGGCGTCCACGTGGTGCTGGAGAACCCTGCTCGATCGCGGCTGTTTCAGCACCAAGGTATCGCCCGGGCCCTCAGGAAGCTCGGCGCAGCGCACCTGGTCTTCGACATGTGCGCGTTCGGCGCCCCCTGGAGGAAGCCCACGGCCATCGCCACCACCCTGCCCTCCGCCGGGGGGCTCGCGCGGCGCTGCCCGTGCCCCGGGGCGCCGCACGTTCGGCTCCAGGGGAAGGTCCGACTGGCGGGCCAGCCCTCGGAGTGGCGCACGGCCTACGCTGCGGCTTATCCTCCTGAGCTGTGCCGCGCTCTTGCGGACGTGCTCGGCCATGCCGCCCCGCCGCGAGCCTGGCGCGAGGCGCGGGAGGCTCCCCTCGCTGCCTGCTGGGAGCGACGCCTGGCAGCCGCGGCGGGCGTCGAGTGCTGGCCCAGCGGGCGACGCGTGGACCTCGCGCCAGTCGGGTCGAGGTGCCGGCTCGGCTGGGAGGGCGCGATCGAGCACTGGGACGGGGACCACTGGACCGTCGAGCTCGAGGCCTTTGCCGCCCATCGCCGAGCCCGACGAGCTGCGGCGAGAGCGGCGGCGCCGCGCTGCCGCGCGCGAGCGCTACCACGGGTCCGAGCCGGGCGTCTGCCGGCGAGCGGCTGCGCGGCCTGCCACGGCATCGGCCTACCGCCGGGCCTTTTCTGACGTGCGGGCCTGGGCGGGCCTCCACGGGCAGCTGCCCGCCACCGCTGACGGGTGGGACCGCGTCCTCGACGGCTACCTCGACATGCTGTTCCTCCGCGGGGACAGCGTCAGCGCCGCTCGGTACGCCGTGTTCGGCACGGCCTACTGCATCGGGCTGCCCGCCCGATCGCCGGCGACGCTCCCTCTTGCTCGTGCTGCGCTCCACGGTTTCGGCCGAGCCAACCCCGACAAGGTCAGGGACTCGTTGCCGTTGGAGATCGTCTGGCTATGCACTGACTTCTGGTTCCACAACTGCGGGCACCAGGGCAAGGTGGCCGCCGCGGCGGCGTGGATTGCCGTGGACTGCTACCTCCGACCGACGGAAGCCCTGCAGCTGGCCGCTGACCGCGTCTCTCTGCCGCGACGGGCTGAAGACCCAGTCGTCGTGACGGTTGCGCCAGCCTCGCAGGATGTGCCCGCGAAAAATTTCCAGTATGATGCTTCAACAGTAGTGGGCGCTCATGATAGGGAGTGGGTCTCCAAGCTCGTCCTCACCCTCGCCCGTTCCTCCGCCTCCGGACCTCTCCTCGACCTTTCTCTCTCACAATGGGAACAGCTGTG